GCTCTTGCTGCCTTCTCCACCATCACCGCCCGAAGTCACACCTGCCCGCAGCACCGTCCTCTCGGACACCACAGGCCAGCCCCAGGGAGAGCTGGTGAGGACCCGCTGCTATCTCCACGCCGCTCCTTTAGCACTGCCTGGTCTGGGATCTGCACCCCACCAAAACCAGACTATTGCTCTTTCAGGAATGTGATATTCAGGCCCACACCAGGCAGGTCTACTGGGCTCAAAGAATTTGTTCGCCCCGAAACAAAGCATTCATGAGTCTCAGCTACTGACGGCCTCTCAAAAATGCTCACAAAACCCCTAACAAAACCCCTATTTTAAGTATTAGATGACTCGGGGGTATCTCCCGAGTGGTGAGAATTTTACAACAAAATAATTTTTCTGCAAACATAACTTTCTGAAATAACTTGCCTTCCTTCGTGATGGGAAGCTTCCTCTACGTTTATGATGTCAAGAATCCAGAAAAAGAAATTTGAATGGACTGAAGGGTTAAAGCTGTAGTACTACACATTTAAGGTTTGCTTCTGTGTTTTACTTGCGGATGCCATCACCGTGTGCTTTTTAAGCATTTTAATATCAAACGTGATTATTTTCTTTTTACTTGAATGAGACTTGGTCTTTAACCCGTAGTTACATACGATAAGCATCTCTCACCAACGCATCTTTCCACGCTTCAGAAGAGGCCGAGGTCAGGCAGCAGCCCCTCTCCTGGCAGCTTGGAGCTCAGGCACCCTCCTCCGGTCGAGCAGCTCAAAGCACGTGGGTGCCAGTCTAGCTCAGTTTGCGTAACGTTTTCTTCTTAACATCGTGTTTTAATTCAAAGACAAGTATATCAGTAATTAGTTACACCTCTCATAGAAGCACAAACCAAAATGACTATTAACAGTATATGATCAGGTAGCGCTACAAAATTTGTGGTGGTTTTTTGTTTGGGGGGGAGGGGTGTTTGTTGTTTTGTTTTGTTTTGTTTTTTTAAACAAGTACATAAACCTGGATGAAGCCAAGTGAATACAATCTGCATGAACAAGGAAAACAATGCAGTAAGTGAATATACAGACACCTTTCCAAGTCCGGATGAAATTACCAGCCTAGCTGTAGAATGTGCATATAACATTGTTTGCAACCTTCTCCCTATTCTGGAACTCGTAATTTAAATAACTGCTAACTGGGCATGACTGTGCAGCACTTGCTCTTCCTCCTGCTGTTGTCATTACAAGAATGATCTTAAAATTCCTTCTGATTTGCCTTATGCCAAAAATTTTCATAACAAAAAATACCCCTCGACAGTGTATCTGAAGAACATATCCTCGCATGAACTGCAATAACACAACCTTTCTTTAATCCAAGTACTGATAAACTTGTAAGAATATTCAGACCGTCGTAGTTGTACGATGTCATTGTAGTTCATTCACAGCAAAACAGCAATAATTTAAAAAATACTTTTTATTTGAAGCTGTCTGGAAATATTCCTGTGATTAATGGGGGAAAACATGCTTGCTTCACACCATGTTTGTAATGATCATTAGGTACTATTAACTCTGTTTGGATTTAATGGAAGAGTAGCTCTCGGGGTTTGAGAATTTACTCAGATTCAGAAATTCTGTGTCTGTTTTAGCTGCAACAGAATCCATTAGTAACTGCATCATCCACTAAAACCAGGATTTTTTTTTATAACTATGAGTCAGGCAAGAAACTAACTGTGAAGAGTGTGTTTTTTTTTTTTTTAATTATGTCATCTACTAGGAAATGTGATTTTTGCAATTTCTGCTAGTTCATGCATCAGGTGATAGGACTGTCACACCAACACACTGTCAACTGGAAATGCACATGGACAATTCACCCCAGGAAACAAATAAAAGTCCCCATGGTTCTGAAGAAACAAAGGCTGGAAGTCCAACTACAGCTGTCCCACTGCTCTATGCAAAACCCCTGTGATTACATTTCAGGTGACACTTGTGAGGCAGGTTCATAACCTGGTTTTGAACAGAGCCCAGTGTCAGCTCACCACCACAACCCTTCTGTGCGTGGACCTGCCCCTGGCCCCACAGAGGTCCCGCTTGGTCGCAGGCTCCCATGGGCCAGGGTTGGCTTTCTGTGAAGGAATCCACATTTCAGATGGCTACGATTAATAATCATTTCCCAGACTAAATAAAGGCCATTTTTATCAACAAAAGGTGAAAAAAGGCCCCTTAGGTAGGAAGCATTACTTTTTATTGAGTGTTAAATCAATCAGGCTGTTGACCCAATGGGATAACATATGCTTAAATTTAAGCAAATGCTTAAGTGCTTTACGAGAGAGTGAGAGAGAGAGAGAGAGACCAGTGTCTGATACCTTGTCAGATCCAGCTCTACGTGAAAATTAATGTTTTGCTCTAACCTTTGAGACAATTCACTTCCCATTCTGAAAACTGCATATATACACGACATTGGTTCTTACACAGTCATGCAGAAGTGGTAGTTATTTCCAGCCCTAGGAAAAAATGCAGGGATGCACACAGCTGAAGTGTGCTTCAGAAAACAAAATCTAGTTAAATGTAATCACAATAGTGATCTTCATTTTAAAAAAGTGAAATGAGGTCAGATTTACTCTTGAAGTGATTCTGATTTAAATTAAAGATTCATAAAGTTCAGTAATTAAGTGCTTAACAGAAATCTATATGATGTTGATAAATAGTTTGTTACATTTGCCATGTGTGTAAATTTGCTGTGATTTATGGCTCGTTAAAATTATTTTTCTGTGATTTCCCCCTTCTTCCCATTCACCCTAACCCTATTTCTCCTACCGCAGCAGCCATAGTTTTATTATGCCTGTTATGATGCTTTGCTATCATTGAAGATATTTATTCAGTTGTTTGCATGAAAGGTAAGAAACAAAAATATAGAGGGTGTTGAGGGAAATATGTTAGTCCTACTATTGCCATATACTAAAAAACTAATAGTAGTATGAAAAATAGAGCTTCTTGTTTATTTTCATCCTGAATTTAACTACCATGTTCATAACGTGCTTTGAAAACATTTGGGGCAGTTTTTCTTAAAAGCAAAACCAAACCAAACCAAAACCACCTCATCCTAACAGATTTAAGTAAGAAGCACAGTCTTAAAAAAAGAAAGGAAAAAAAAACCCCACGGTGACAGTTATTTGAAGGCATGGTGAAAATGAGGCAACGTTACAGAATTTGTAGTGGATGGAAAGGAGCGAGGAAGATGATGCAGCTGGTTTATGGCCATCCCACCAGTCGCTAGCTGAAGACCTTGCTGTTGGCCAAGGCCATTCAGCCTGTGTGATGGTTCCTCTGGACCAAATGCCATTGTGATGTCCCCAGTAGTGTTCTGGTTGTCGCCTGGTGGGAGCTGCCAGAAACTCATCACATGAGTGAGATCCATGAAAGGCAGGCTCGTAGTTTCAGCTGCTGCCTCTGTCTCCTTGTGCACTGGGTACTTGTTAGTATCCCCTACCGGCCCTGAGGAAGCTTCTTCCAGATTGATTTTGTGGAGAGATTGAGGTTCTGGTAACGGCAGGTCCTCAAGAAGATGCACGTTGTAACCTTTAACATCCACCTTTATCGGTAGATGCTTGAGGGATCCTGCTGCAAATGAGGTAGAACTAAGGTCGTATTTATTAGGCTGATGAAGGTTCAGGTTGGCAGGAACGGCTGTTGAGCATGGTGTGGGATGGACAGCTGGAAGGCTGTCTGCACAGCCCATCCTTTGCAAATGAGGAGAAGGTTCAAGAGGAAGAGCAGTTTGTAAGCTTGGCTGGGAATGAAGATGTGAACAGTTGTAATCCCCTGATTCTGAACTATTCAAAATCCCATTCTGCACAGAGACCCTTTCAGGAAAAGGGGACAGTATGCTGGCATCTTCCTTCAGTCTGAATGGAAAAAGCTGGTCAAGGAGACCCACCGAGTCACCATTCTGCAACCTGCTCTTCAGCAGTTCTTGTGGATGAGTCTTCCTAGTATGGCGAGTCAAGTGATCCTTCCGCCCAAACCTCTGGGCACAAAACTGGCATAGAAAGTCTTTGCAGCCTGTGTGAACTACCATGTGACGCCGCACATCTTTACGGGTATAGAAGTGACGCTCACAGTGGTCGCACTTATGTTTCTTTTCCTTGGTATTGCCAGTTGGTTTCCCTGCATGGCTTTTGAGGTGTTCCAACAAAACTTCAGTACCACCAAACTCCTGGGCACACACCCTACAGGTAAGGTCCCCACTGGTGGCTGCATGAAGAGCCAAGTGTCTCTTATAGCCTAGCTTGGTGTTGTACTTCTTGCCACACTCTTCACACTTAAAGGCCATCTTGTTAGGGTCATGAGTCTGAAGGTGATTCTTTAGATGGTCTTTCCTGTGAAAGGTCTTTTCACAGTAGCCACACTGGTGAGATTTCTGTGGAGAATGAGTGGCTGAGTGCCTAAAACAAAAAAAAAGAAAAAAGTTATTTGCATTTACATTCACTCTAGCACGCAGTACAGCTTCAAGACTTGAAAACACTGGCACTCTTGAAGGAAGGCATTTTCACAAGTTCTCAGATTATTAGTAAAAGCCTAACTTTTTTTGGGGGAAAGGTGTTAATCATAAAGCATAGAGTAGGTTAAAATTGCTCAACATAATCTTTTTGAGTAGCCACCGCAATTGAGGGAGTTTAGTTTTCTCCAATTCTACCAAAACAGGAATAATAAAAACTGGAACTCGGGGATTAACTGTCACTAGGACACTCGAGGAAAAAGATGTCCTTGTTTTTTTCCCCGCACACCCACCAGAAAAGGAGTGCCTTCAGAGCCTACCTGAGCAGTTTATATTTGGAAATGAAGGCTTTTGTGCATCCGTGCTGTGAACACTTGTAGGGGCGTTCCCCTTTGTGTGTGTAACTGTGGACTGTGAGCTTGTCAATGGAATCAAATATCTTCCCACAAAGTCGGCAAGGATAACCGTCTGGCTGCTTCACTTCTCTTCCCTTCAAGAGTGAAGACCGGCCATTTCTCCATTTAGGTATAAACCTCACAAGAGCATCACAATTGCTTCCTGAGCTGGCACAGCTAAGCTTTGCGGCAGAGGAACAGGAAATGGTCCCGTAGCACTGAGCAATGCTTTTGCCTAATGCCGCTCCTCTCAGTTTCCCTTTGAGTTTGCTTTTTGCTTTCACAGGTCCCAATTTACTTGGTGGCCTGAACCTGGTGGTAAGGACTCGGTCTTTATGGATGCACTGGTGAGATTCTAGCAGAGCAAAAGTTGCAAAGGTGCTTCTACAGCTGGAGCATATCCAAGGGTCTACAGGCTCTTTCTGCAATGAGAACAGAAACAGGTCTTTCTTATTAGCCATTGTAAGGAAAGGTCATATTCTTCTCACTGACCCTACATCTTCTCCCGGGCTTTCCCAAGACCTGTCGTTGTCCTTAGTGATATTTACTTTAATGTACTACCACACAGCTGTTCAGCTGGAAACAGATTCTCTCTAGGAGTCTACAAACCAGAAGGAAAAAAAAATGGTTGGCTAAATACCGATTTCCATGTTTTTGTTTAGCATTTACTGAAACAGTCCTGAGTCCTTCACCTTTGTTTATCTGTGCTTACTGAATTTCAAAGTCTTTACATTTGTTCCTTTTATGGAATTACTCATAAAAGCAGTTGCAAATTGTACTTTGTCCTTAGACTGACATAATTTATCTGCTATTGCAACCATACAAAAATTGGGTGGGTTTCTGCATGCAACTGTAGTTTAGCTGTACAGGTTTTCCTTGTGTTTTGGGCTGACTCCATGCTTTACCAGACGGTGATGGTCTGCCTCCAGGAGAGACTTCCTCACTTAGCTTGACATTTGGCATTAGACTTTCTTAAACTCGATAGGAAACACCTTAGGTTTGGGGATCTCAAGCCTCTCCTGACTTAGAGGCATTAAAATATAGAAGTTTTTTGGCAAGCAGTGCATTATTTGGAAGTATTATTTCTGTGGAAATAAGAGCTCTACTGGATTCAGTTGAATTCACTTTAAATATTGACATTTTTAAAATTCCAATGAAAAACAATTACAAAAAGCCCCCGGTCGCTGATGAAATGTACTTCCAATTAATACACGACAATGTACTTCCTCGTCTGTCTCTATATTTTACTTAAGCTTCTCATAAACTGTCCTTACTTTCCCTGGCTCTTGGGCTAGCTTGCTCTGGAGAACATGGTGAGGCTATGTCCACTCTGGCTTTATTTACAGACAGAGCCCTCCTCTACCTTATCTATGTCTGATGCTGTGGCCCTCCCACCCCCTTTTTCTGGTGTATACTCTAAAGCCCTCATGTGGAAATGCAACGATGGGGTTACTTCCCGTCCTGGAGCACCTCTAAATTCCTGGTTCTGTCATATTCCCTGTTTAACATTTCCTCCTAGCGTAGGTATCAATCTTCACGCTCATGTATTCAACACTTATGAACTTTTCCTATCAGTTTAAGGATTCCTACGATCATACAGAGGGGAAGGTATTGGGATTAGAAGAGAAGGGTTATTTCACAGGAAATACTGAAATAATCAGCACGTTATCCGACCAACCGGTCAGAGCATAACAAGGAGGAACTGGTGAAAAAAGTCTGAGGCTGGACAGCTTGGTTATCTACAAATTAATGCCAATCTTAAGTCTTTCCAACACATCCCACTGGTGACACTTACTTCTGGCTATATCTAATGACTCCATTGGATTACAAACACAGGGGATGAAGAGCAGCCTTTCTCTGAATAGCTGTTTGGTTAAAATTGCTCTTGGCTTTGTGTTAGCCTACTACTCTACGGTCTACTCTAGCATTACCAGAGTTACATAAACAGAGAAAGCATGCAAATTGTAATTTACTGTGTCTGGTGATGGCTTGAATGCAGATTAGGGGTACTTACTGCTACTGGAGGCAAAGGACAGACGTCAGATTCTTCTTTAATGAAGACTGCAGAAGCTTCCATAAATTTGGCATAATCGGCAGCATACCATACTTTCAATTCTGTGTGGGGTTCAATTGGCTGTGAATGGAAGAAAATAGCACATGTTTACTCGTGCCAATTTTTCTATACCAAATAATACTGAAGATTGGCAGGGGTTGTGTGTCCAATTTGTGTCCTTACCCAAGTTGCATTCTTTGAATCTGTTTAAATTATTGGTAACTTAGTTTCAAGATTCAAGCACTTTTTGAGCATTACTATCCACTAGCATTTGGCACCTTCACAGTTTCTAAAAGCAGAAACGCGTATGTACAGAGATTTTGGGGGGACAGTAGCAGGAGGGGTGCCTCAGCCCTCATGACCTTTACTCAGTGAGATCTATTTGTCTGTGCTGTCCAGACATCCAGCAGTCTTTCCAAGCAATATCCCATGCCTATTCCTCAACGTTTCGAAGCCCACTGGACACAACACTTAACTATAGGGTACAGGCAAAGGAAAAATGCATCGTGAGTGCACAACAGCTTGGCTGCCTCCTGGATATGTCACACTCACAGAGCATGGGTGCAGAGCTGATCAATATGTGGACTGCAAGTCCTGCTGGCTCTAATGTGTCAGGCTCACTATGCATGTACTTTATTGTACCTCTGCCCTCCTTTCACTGAAGCCTTCCCATAGAGGTCTAAGGGAGCCCATAATCTGCAGTCTCCCATCCAGTCATGCCTGCCCAAATCTTTCCTTGGACTGGACTATGACCTCCTCTGACAAATAGTTTCAGTCAATAATACAGCAAATAGAAAAAGAGACGAGTGATTACACTCACTGGCTAAAGATCCATTAGTTATTTAAAAGCAAAGGAGAAAACTAACTTTGTTTTATATAACTCCCTGGCCCTGTACACAATTTTCTTCATCTATAATAAAAAACACCATTGCTGCAACAGGGGTAGAGCCAATCTGCACTGTACTTGTAGTTTTATTTAAACTAAACTAAACTTGTGCCACTAAAAAGAACAAACTAGCCTGGAAGGAGAGCAACTGAGTCTTATTCCACAAACTGTGACATCTTAAAATGCATTTATTTTTTAACATCGGTGTTGGATAAGCATGGTAAATAAAAGACAACTTTGACAGTTAATGCTGACAGGTGACAGGTAATTGTGTGTATAATGTCAAAAACTGAACTTCTGAACTCCCAAGCACAAGCCCGCTTGCTATCTACAACCAGTATGAGTTGGTTGTACGTTTTGGTACACCTGGCCTAAACAGGAATGGTATGTGCCGAATTCTCGATTCAACCAACGAGAAAGCCGATCACGCATTGTGCACCTGCATATAGTCTATTTAGATGGAGAAAACCACAGCCTAGGGGAGCTCCACAGAGAAAAATGCCTGGGGATGCCCCAGGACCTTGGCCAGTGACACCTGAGACTGGTACCCACAAACAGCTGCACAACACAATGCTGTCATGACTTTCTGCCCAACATTCCTGGACCAGCAGCGATCTCCTCTGTGGGAAGCTGAGACCTAGTCAGTGTGTGAAATAATCAAGTAAGGTAAGTTCTAATCTCAGAAAAACACCAGTACCCAAATCCACTACAAGTTGGGTAGCAAACAGGAGGAGCTGGAAGCCATT